TCTAACTGGGCCTTAGCTTTCCTAACCTGGTTCCTAGCTTCCCACACAACATCCCTGTACTCTTCCCAGGCCACCTGTCCTTGCTTCCACTTATTATAAGCCTCTTTTTTCATTTGAATTTTCCTCAGGAGCTCCATAAAGTAAGGAAAGAAGTGCATGGTAAAGAGAATAACAACTCTACCAAACCAAATCAAGCACTGCACCTCTGTGTGGGGAGTTCAGGAGCTGCAGCTGTGAGTCTCAGGTCTGCTTGGATGTGCCTACACCTGTGCTTTGCGTTGCAGTTGTGTGAGATGCAAGGGCACTGCTGTTTACACACCTGTTTAATAGACAGTAAATCAGAAGACTGAGGCATATCTGTGTGGAGTAGAAGAACTCCTGCCTTGTATCTTAAATCTTACTTGTGCTCAAGTTGTCCTTTGCTGCTTCTTTCAAGCTGTGGAATTTGTCCTTTTTCTCAAGAGGAACACTATTATGTAAATTAAGTTTACATTTGCACTTTCATTTATTCCTGTATTTGTTAACTAAGTCAACAATTTAATATGAGGCTGCCAAATTAGGAAGATATTGCTTACATATCTCATCACTTGAACTGTTCAAAGTAGTGCATGAATTTGATCTCTTCACAAACATTAATCTGCATTGGGGTTCTCCTGAGCACCCATTCACTGAGCTAAAACTTTGTGTTTGCATGCTGATGTTTGCTCCTGAGGGCTCATATCCCTAGTGAGCATGTTTAAACAACTGAAGTGCTCTTACAATGAAACGTTCAAATTCAAGCCTTTATTATTATGCAATCTGGGATTATTTTTTTTTTTATCATTAGACTTCCTTCTGAACTGGGTGGTTGACACTCCCTGTTCCAAATTCCTGTCCCATGAGCTAGTTGTTTGGAAATACTGGCTAGGAAGACAAGCACCATGACTGGGTTTTTTTTTATTCTCAATCTGGAGAAAGTGCTTTTTCACTAGGTCTTTAGGATTAGACTGTAACCAGAAGGCAGGCTACAGAAGAAGGATAAAGATCAAAAGGAAAAGGAGAGCATTACTTGGTAGATTGATACATCTGGAAACGGTGGGCCCAATTCAAGGTGCTTTAGGAGTCGGAAGACTCTTGTGCATGACTGAACTAGTTTCTGGATTAAGCCTTGCATATGCCCTAGGAGAGGAATGCATACTTGGTCCAGCAGCATGTGTGCTCTAAGCGCTACAAAAAGCTAGTCTATATTGTGACAAACTGGGGGTTCATACACACATTTGCTATTCAAAAAGATATTTCTGATAAACTCCATGTCTAAACAATTTTAATGGAAAACAAGACTACTTTGACTTGACTCTCCAGTCAGATCAGTTTCCGTACAGAACTTCGCTCTTTGATCCATGTCCAAGAACATATTTATCAAGGAATTTATATAGCCGTTTAAATTCACTTCCTGATGTGAATTAAAACGACTTTCATGTGCAAAACCCCTTGAAAGTTCCTTGTGTGTGAAGTGAAGATTTCTCCATCTTTTTCATGTGTCCCGTGATCTTGTGATCTTCTCCCTCTGAGTCGTCCTGCTGGGCAGCCCATCTCTGCTGCAGGAGAGCTGGATGGATGAGCTTCCCCTTTGCCCACAGGGACAGAGCACATGAAGTGCTCTTCCCAAGCACTGACTGAACACTCAGGCTCTCTTGGCTGCACAAGGAGAACGCCAGGGTTTTGTCATTTTTCTTGGGGAGTACTTGTTTTGTTTTTCAAGCAGCTTGGCATTTAAAATACCATAGCCACTTGAACGGTGGGCAGATCCTTCAGGTTGCCATGTCGCAAGTTGCCAGGTTCTTGAAAGCACCCAGAGAAAAACTGATGCACCAAATCCCTCCCATCATTGTGCTTCAGCTGTTTGGAGGGCTCAGCCAGCTACAGCATTGAGAGCGCAGCTGCCTCCAACAGCGACGGTGGCCTGAGCATTGTTTTGTTGTCGTTTCTGCAGAGGAGCGGCAGGAGCTTACATCATTTCCAGTAATGAAGTGCCTGGGGTTCTTTTATGACTTGCACACTCTGCTTCTCCAGAGCTGTACAGTATGTGCTGCATGACTCCAGGAAACTGAGGATTTGTTTTGACTTGCTAAAAGAACGTTTGCCGTTTCTCTTTACAATTTCACCATATGACTTGTCAATTCTCTCCCCCTCTTAAGAATAACTTCAGATTTAATTAGCTGAGTGCAAACATCTTTCATTGCAGTGTGGATTAGACTCCTCATTGAGTACATTTACCAACAGAATGAAAGACATCTTAATCAGGCATTTCTGTATTTGTACTGCTGCGTCCAGAGTGCATGGTAACAGTTGATAGACAGTTGCTATTGACTCCCTTTCTAGTGGGGGATGACCAGTGATGTGTGGACAAGTCTTGTTAAGGCTTGCATTTTGGTTTTGATGCTCTGTCTCCTACCTAAGAGCACTTTCTGAGTGTGTTTCATTATCATTTCCCTATCTGCTATGTAGGAAAAATGATACTTATGTGCCTTGCTGGGATGTCCTGAAATAGCTGGCTTGTCCCCATTCCACAATGACCTTGCCTAGCATATTCTAAAAGGTGCAATTTATACTTTGCTGAATTGCAAAGTAACACTGCACACCAATCTCTATTAGACAAGTTTGGCACCAGCTTCCCAAAGCATTACCCAGATATATGCATGTGTATGTGCTTTGAATTTTCAGCAGTGAATTTCAGTTTGCATTTCCACCACTCAGAGAACATTCTCCAGACCATGAACCACCTGGGCTGTTTCTGGGATATCATCACCCAAGCAGCAGCCTCCACAACTCTCTATAAGTCCCAGAGTAAATGCTTGTTCTGCAGCAACAGCAGCTGATTTACCCAAATGTGCAGTCACACCGAATGCTTTTTGGCACCATCAAAACCAGTAAAGAACAGCACAAAATTCACAGTCCCCTTTGTAAACTTGTCATCCTTTCTGTTAGTTCCAGATATTGATCTTGTCATAAGCACTTTAAAAAACACCTTTAACCCCTAATCCACTAGTCACTTCCGCACAGTTAAAATTTGACAAGTTCATTTTTAGCCATCTCTCCTCTCAAAGGTGCTGTGGTTTCTGTTTGATTTTTCAGAAGTGAATCATAGTTTCAAAACCCTCACTGCCTTAGTGAAACACTTTTTTTCCCTTAGCATTCAACATGTTTAACATGGGTTCAGACATGTTATCAGAAACTTACACTACAATCCCTAAAAAAAATCCTGTGTGATTTCATGCCCTGGAAACACCTTTTATATTGTAACTATTCCTACAGCTATCTGGAGATGAGGCATATGGATCTGAGCTAGTCAAATTAATTCCATAATGGCTTCTGGCTTAACAAGCATGTACAGTACATCAGAAAGCAGAACAGCTGTAGCAGAGTTACCTTTTATGTGGGTGGCATAGACGTCTGCCAATTAAAATGATCTGATGATTCATTTCTTGCCATATGATTACTGTTAATAAGAATTTATGTTAACATGTTTGTGTCTGAACTTTGCACAGGTTCATGCCTGCATTTATTTTCTTAAAGAATAGAGTGTATCATGGTTGTTTTTTTGTTCTTAATGGACTTTTCTTTCCTCATTTGAAAGCATTCCAAGACTTCAGTAACGCAAAGATGCCAACTATCCCTTAAAGGAAGATGTTTCTATCTCCATGTAGTGCTTTCTGCATGTGATTATATGTATAGAGGCCAATAGGTTTTAACCTGGGAATGTCAAGCTAAGCTTCTAAATCCATATACCAGCACTTAAAAAGAGAGCACGGCCTTCAAAATAGAAAAAGAGGAGTTCTCATAAACTTCTATTAAAGCTTCTTGTTATAAGCATTTATACTTACTCTTTCTTTTAAGTAGTCCCACTCACTTACAGGCTTTAGCCGTTGACCTCATTACACTAACTCCCTGTGTATAAAATCAAGCATTTTTTCTCCAGAACTGATATCTTCTATTTATGGTGAGAAATTTAGGCGTAGCAAAGTGCTGTTTTCAATATCTTCAGAGGCTTACAGAGCATTTCAAAGTATTTGAGGTCTGTGCAACTAGTGAGATGTTTTATAGCAAGAAATACACAGGTTTAAGGGTCCATCTCTGAGCAGAGAAATGTAGTTTAAAATTCCAAATAAGCTTGGTAAATACAGTAGGACAGGGCAGAGACAGAAAACAATTGCAATAAGGCTGTGTGAAGTACAGTTCAGCTAGGATAAGTGGTGAGAGACTCATCATTCTTGTGAATCTCATTTGGAAGCCATAGCAGAACAAACATTTTGATGCAAGAACTTCTTCCCATGGGACTTAGAACACTTAGTAGACAATATACTGAAGAAAGCAATCCTAAAGAGACTAAGGAAGAAATTGGCAAATAGATAATTTCTTTCCCTCTGCTGGCAATTCTGCCACTCACATTAATAGGAACAGAGGACACCAATAAGCAAGGTATTTTTATGGCCCTTACACTGGAGCTTTTGAGGGTTCTGTGGCTGACAGTGTGCTTCTTACATCTGCTCTTTCCATGCGCACTGATGCTTTGTAATCCTATCTGCATCCATTTTCCTGGCAGCCTTGATAAATCAAGAACTCTCATATGTTTTTTTCCAGTGTCATCCTGCATTACCACCTATAAGAAGACACCGCCTCCAGTCCCACCAAGAACTACCACGAAACCATTTATTTCTATCACAGCCCAGAGCAGCACAGAATCTGCCCAAGATGCATATATGGATGGTCATGGACAGAGGGGAGATATCATCAGTCAGTCTGGACTTAGCAACTCCACAGAGAGCTTGGACAGTATGAAGGCTCTGACAGCTGCTATTGAAGCTGCCAATGCACAGATCCACGGCCCTGCAAGCCAACATGTAGGGAACAACACTGCCACCGTCACCACCACCACAACCATTGCCACCGTTGCAGTAGAAGATAGGAAGAAGGACCACTTCAAGAAAAACAGATGCTTGTCTATTGGAATACAGGTACAGTACAGTACATGGATTATTGCCTGCCATTGTTTTGGATCTCTACATCTGGTTTACTGCTTGTTATGCAATGTTTTGTGTATTTTTCTTTTTTTCCTGACAGGTACTTATGTAGAAATTGCAGCAGCATAATCATTCTGCATGGTACTAATGATGTTTTCCTAATTTATCGTAAAAACATCAGATGCAATGATTTGTTTAAGTCTCCTTGCTGTTTGTTATTCAGCTTTGTTAAATTACACACATGAGCACTAATCTATGAATCATAACACAGCGGGGGTCAGAAAGGCATGAATTAAATCACTGAAAGGGAATGTGTAAAACAATGATTTACATTACACTATCACCCAAAAAATATTTTCGTCCAGCCTCAGTGAATTAATTGTTACTGCTTATTCATGCATTTCATAATGACTGGTAGCCACTTGAATGAGGCAGCGTTGTTGCTATCTCAGCCTCAAGAGCAGAGGGTAAATTTCTTCTAAGTTGCCCTTGTGAAAGAAAATTACATTTTGTTACCTCTAGTGGAAGGGAACAAGAAAACTAACCCTGCCAAAGTTCACTCCTATTTAGAGAAGGAAGAAGGGCAAATAAACCAGACCAATGTAATCTGCTTTCTTAATTAATCTTTTCCATACCTCTACCCCCCCCCCAAAAAAGAGTCAAAAAATAAAAAAATAAAGAAAAGAAGAACGTGCATAGGACTCCAGCTATCTGCCTGCAAGATTAACATTTGCAATGAAGCGCTTGAACTTACAATCAACTGAGAATCAACATGGGTTTTGATGGGAGATGAACCCCAAGCAAATAGAATAGCAATCCACATCTTATCAGCCTGAAGACATGATGTTTTTCTTGCAGATGGAGGTTGTATGCACAGCTCTATGTGCCTGGACAAGCTTGTCTGATTAGCAAAGCCTAAGAATTTACCATGAAATCTCTGCATCAGCCTGGTGAGATGAAAGGTGCTGTGTAGAAGTATGCCATCCCAGGGGCAGCTCTGGGGTAGCTGCGACTTTTCTCTTACTTCTTCTTGGAAGGGCAGTAATTACTATTGCCTGTGGGTTCGGTTCTCTGCCTTGGTTGTAGCCTTTTTCTGTTTCACGGATGTTTGTTTGGGATATATTCTGAAAGAAGGGCCGATGTTCAGTTTTAAACACAGGTGCATGATCCAGGTGGGACAGGGATAGGGAAAGCTCTTCTATTACTTATTCCCATTCTCAGCCAAGTCTAACATTGTAATTCCTCATTTCACTGAGCAAGGCAACAAAGACTCCTTAGCAGGCAAACACCCTGCAAAATGATAGGCAGAAAGAAATCATTTCCACGTTTGCAGAAGCCAAAATGAACAACTGTAATGTGAGTCATGGCTCTTGAGACACCATCTCCCTGATGTCTCTTCTTCAGGTAGTGTTTCTGCAAGTAACAAATGTTGCTTTTGGAAGTATAGGGGCCTCAGTTTCTTGAGATCTGAGGCAAATAGAGCTCCAAATGCTATTCAGGTCTCTGAAACTTTGAAATTTACAGATGACCAATATAATCACATGTGAAAGCTGCCTGGGGATTGTCATGAGACTCTGCCAGGGTAATTTTTGTGTACAAACTAATGGAGATGCCAAAAACTGGGATTACATGAAACAAAGCCTTCAGCAGTGATACAGTCTTACAGGATTCCTGCCCATGCACTGTTCCACCCTCCCAGTTATGCCCATCAGTGAGATTTTGAGTCAGACAGGCTTCACAAATAAAACTACTAGTCTGCTATCTGGTCCATTTTGCAGCATCATTGCACAACCAATCATGATGGTGGTACAGCTGAAGAGGTAGTGTGGGAGTGGAAATACCATAAAATAGCTGTTACTGCTAGAAATTACTTCTTTTAGAAACAACTGACCTAAAATAGGTAGGTATGCTGTCAGCCCTCAAACTGGCAGTGTGGAGTCAGTCTCTCTCCACTGACTGTAAAGAGAACCTAGTTTAGGCTTATACTCTACTCAGACCAGGTATGCACCTTAATTATAGCTTGGCCCATCATTGCAGAGCAAGGCAAGCTGAAGAGGCATAGTCTTGGTTTGCTTCCTCCTCTAACAAACAATGCTAATATGTATTCATGATGAACCTCCATGTGTGTCCTCTGCACCCCTCAGTCACTTTTGGGCACTTGGGGCTGCACCCCAAGCCTTTGCTGTAAATCTGTTTGGCAAAAAACAACGTAAAGCAAAAAAAAACCCTTCCATCAGAAGGCTCCTTCTCTCTCTCAGTTATAGGATTTAAGGCAGTTATCTCCCCAAAAGCCTCAGTACCAGGTAAGTACCTCAATTCTTTGAGCAGGTCTGTAACTTTTCATCCCTCCTTGAGCACTTTTCCTGCATAGGCTGTTCAAGTGGTTCTCAACAAGCTTATTTACTGGTGGAAGAGATGCTAACTACAACAGAAGGTACATCCAGAATCAGAGTGAATCCCCAGGTCACTTTGTAACCCTGCTGTGGTCCAAAAATTCTGTGTGCCAGAAATTGTTTTTCTTGTATGACTACTAATCTCATATATAGCATTGGCAATTAACAACTGCACTGACTGGACCCACAATTTTTTGATTTTTCTCAAAGACATATCTTAAATGTGACTTAAATCTTAACTTTACACCATTGGTATGTATCTCCTCAAAGAGATGGGGAGGTGATATAAAGTTCCTGCCTCTGCTCCTGGGGACCACCTATTTGCATAATGAAGCAGTAAAGAAAATGCATCCAAAAGCAGCATCTGTTTTCTTTAAGTCTTATCCGTACAGTGCTCTGATATAAACACTGAAAATAAACACATAATTTTGACATGAGTTCATGTATGCGCACATATACAGACTAACATGTAAAATCAAACAAACAGAGCACAGTAAGTGGAGTTACAGCTGCTCAGAGATTTGCTCAGGCAAACTGTAACACCCAGACTCCGGAAAACATTGGATAAAATCCATCTACATTTTGCAGGCTGAATGTTGTCTTACTAGAAATTATTTGTAGATTAACAAGAATAATGAATGTCCACTAATAACATCAGAAATGGGCACAGCACAGGTAAACTATCTGACTAGATGAAGGTACTTACAGTACAAGTTATATGTGCAGACACTTATTTTGCATAGAAATTGTAAGCAGCTGGGCTATATCTCTGTTAAAATATGTTATAAGTAGCTGGATTTCTTTTTTTTTTTAAGGTTGATGGTGCTGAAGAGTCCAATAAATCAGTTGAAAATAAAGCAACCAGTAAGTTCCAGTCCATAGGAGTTCAAGTAGAGGAGGAAAAGTGGTGAGTAAAAGTTAATAATGTTTTTCTAAAGTAAATAATTATGCCACAACTAATTTTTAAGAGCCCTAGTTCCTGCACACATGACCATATTAACCTGCTTCCTGGATGAATTGTTAGATCACCCAACTGAAAAGCTGAGTCTTGTAAATGCTGTAGCTCTTATTTCTCAGAGGGGATTTTTCCAGACCACTGGCAGAAGTGGAAGAAAAGTGCCACATATTTTAAAGGTCAATGTACTTTTAATAAGCTCTTTTTCCCCAGAAAATCTACCTAAGCAGCAAAAGGTGATGCAGATGGAATATTAGTCTTGGGGTGGCTGCAGCAGCATGGAGTTGATGGGGAAGTTTACCTTGTTTTTCAGCAGAATAATTCCAGCCACGTGGAGCAGTGCAGTGGCAGAGCCAAACTGATTGCTTTTGCTCAGGTATCTCACACAGACATCTCTGCATTACAACTGCTTCCTTGTGAAAAAATGTTGAGATTAAAAAGCAAGCTTGTAAAACTCAGTTGTCTCACCAGTCTGCAGTGCAACCTGAATTAGTAAACAAACATGCTTCAATTAATATATATATAATAGTTGTTGTCTTTAAGGGTTGTATTTCTTTCTGGTGACAAACTGCAATTAAGTTGTAGGGAAGCATAAGCGTGCATAGCATTTCCCAGACAAAGTTTTTGAGTGCTTGACCACAACTGTAAATCTTAATTCCTGCCCAAAACTGGACTTGGCTGAAGAAAAACTAGACTCTCCCCTCACCTCTGAGCATGCAGGCCTGCCCAGTGATGCTGTGGCTGCATGCACCCACCCAAGTCTGTTAGTTTTTCATTTTGTTTGGCAGCAGCATAACTTTTGGCTTCTGGAGCCATTTTGCTGATGGATTCTGGAGCCATTTTGCTCCTTGTACTGCATCATGGGAGAAGCTTCAGGGTTTGTCACTGAGGGAAGAGTCACCCTTGCAATCTCTCCAGAGAAAACCTAGTCACAGTAAATCTAAACTGACAAAATTAGGGTCCTCTACCCTCCTCTGGCCCGCCAACGGCAGTAATGAATAGAAATGTCCATTTCACACTGGGTTTTGACTATCACTGCTAAAAATACCCTAAAAAAGAACGTTACCTACACTATTTTCAATTCAACAAAATCTCCCCATGAAGTAGCAGAGTATTTTCCTGTGGTTTTAAAAGGCTGAAGTGATTTCAGCAAAAAGAAACATGGTTTTGCAATGACCTTACTAGGCTGTTACCAAGTTCCTCATTAACCTGCTAAAACGTCTTTTGCTGACAGACATTTCTTTATGTGTTAGACCTTATCCCCATTTGCCCACAACTCTTCCAGCACTATATATATGAGCACATTATAATAGATAAATAGATGCTGAGGACTATTTCCCTTCAGCCTGAGCACAAAGGAAGTTAGTACCCCAAAAGCCCAATCTTCCCCCTCCCCTGAAAAAAAACCCAAAACAACTCAAACCAAAACACATTAAAACAATGAAAGAAAGAAAGGTCTGTTTGTAAATACCTTACTTCCAAAGTCCACTTTCAATTGCAGTTTTTATTGCTCCAGATAAAAAAAGTAAGATTTGCCTGTGAGGGTCTGCCCTGAGAAAGCAGTATTTCTGCTTTACCTCCTCCCCTGACAGATGTGTTTGGGGGTTTCCTTGATGATAAAGTTGAGGTTGCTGCTCCTTGGAGCAGACGGGCAAGCAGCAGTCTATCATGGACTTTCAGAAGTGAACTGGCTGATAAAGGACAGCCCCTAATCTCCAGAAAATGAGTGCACTCTAAGACACAAAGGATTTATAATCACAGTTTGGCACCATATTCGTTTTTTTTCTTTAAACACAGAAGAGCACAATGTATTGATTATCTGTTACAGAAATAGAATTGTAAATACAGTGCATTCTTCCCTGTCCCTGCACCATAACATCTGCAGCTCCGAAGAAAAACCCTTTTGAGTTGAATCTTTGACAAATGAATTTTTTTTTAAATAAGCTTTCAGGCTTCAGAAATATTACATAAATATAAAACAAGAAGAGAAGAATGACACAGCAAAGAGAATAAGTATAGTAAATTGATTGTGTTTCCTTGTCAGTTTAAGCTACTAAGTGCAGTGTTATAAAAGAAAGCTCTCTGCTTAATGCACCAAAAGCCTACCATACAAAATTTGTTTCAGTCCTCTTTGCTTCCTGCTCTTTCCTCCCCAATTTCCCTCACCTCAAATGACTGTCATTCTCACACTAAGGAGTCTTACCTCCTCATGTTCTTTTAAATATTCCTGCTTCTGTGCTTGAACCAAATAAGCAAAAGATTTTGCTTCCTTTTCTTGATCTAAGGTAGCTCAAGAACCAAGCATCTTCAGAGGACAGCTCTATCTCTTCCATCTTCCATCTTCCATGTCGACTCAGATCTTTCATTAGTCCTTCACTCTCTGTAATCTGGACTTCCTGCCAAGATCTGAGTCCTGCTCCTCCTCTTGTACAGCTCAAAGAATAAATGCTCCTACCACTACCTGACCATTTTACAACTAGATCCATCACCGCTATTCATATTATCCTCAGTCCTTTATGCTGCCTGCTCTCAATAATATTTTACGCACCCATTCCCTTAGTGCAGCTCTACAATTTCTGGCATCTATAGAGGACCTCTGTCCAATCCTTCTTGCAGAAAAAAAAAAAAAAAAATTGGTATGCATTTATTTCAACTGTTACTTTCTTATCTCTCACCTGATCTCCCCCATGATGCTAACAAAACCCAAGCCAAATCTTCCTTCCCTTTCCTCACATGACCCACCCTTTCCCGGACTTTTTCAAAACATTTATCTACTGAAGCTGATCAGTTCAATTGCAGGGCACTTCCATTTCCATCCATTTCTGTTTGTCCTTTCTCTCTACCTGCAACTTTTTGACCTCAAGGCAGCACCTTCCATTCCTCACTTACAGAAGATAATTGCGTTGTTAGAAGTCAACCAGTTCTACTGAACTAGAAAAGAAGTTATACACTGTGCCAGACTGATTAGCACACATGCTTATTGAACAAGGGGCTCTCATTTTTAGTTTCTCTTGCTTCTTGATGTTGTCTGCCTTAAGATGTCCTCCCCCAAAATTGTCTTGCTTATTGCTCTAGTCACACCATCAGCTGGTAATTTTACTTGGTTTGCCATCACAAGAACTTCTGAATGCTGAAACAATGGTAGTTTCTGAAGTAAGAACACTGCCATGGGAGACTAAAACCATAGACAGATGGTCCTTCACCATTTTCTTTGGCTTCTGTGTGGCCAGGGAAGGTGCCTGCACCTCTTGCTGTGATATAAAGTGTGGCTTACCACACCATACCTCTTGGTGTGGTATAAAGTGAAAGGATTTAGAATGGTGGTGGAGCTAATATTTCCACTTATGCCAAGCATAAGTATAAACTGGGAGAGGAGTGGCTGGTGAGAGGCTCTGCAGAAAGGGGCCTGGAGCTGCTGGTCGGCAGCAGGATCAATAGGAATTAGTAGTGAGCCCTGGCAGCCCAGAGGGCAAACCTCACCCTGGGGTGCATCACATACAGCATCACCAGCCAGTCAAAAGAGGTGATAGTCCTACTGTACTCAGAGCTGGTGGGGCCTCACCTCAAGTGCTGTGTGCAGTGTTGGGCCCCACCGTTTAAGAAGGATGTGAAAGTCCTTAAATGTGTCCAGAGGAGGACAACAAAACTGGTGAAAGGGCTGGAGGGAATGTCCTGTGAGGAGTGGCTGAGGGCTGAGGACTTTGGGCTTGTCTAGCCTGGGGAAAAGGAAGCTGAAGGAGACCTCATTGCTTTCTACAGGTTCTTGAGGAGGGGAAGGGGAGAGGGAGGTGCTGATCTCTTTTCCCTGGTATCCAGTCACAGAACACGTGGGAATGGTTCAAAGCTGCACTAGAGAAAGTTTAGACTGGACATTAGGAAGCATTTATTACCAAGAAGGTGGTCAAACCCTGAAACAGGCTTCCTGGAGAGGTGGTCAATCATTGTAGGTCCCTTCTAACTGAAACAGTCTATTCTAAAATTGCCATAAAGGATTAGCTTCTCTGCTAAGACTCTTAGTGATGAAAAGACTATGTGAATCGGAGAAGGAGAGGGATAGAGCAAAGCACACAAGACTGTACAGTTTGAAGATACATGGCTGAAGATCCTGCCATTAGAAGACATAGTACTGTATCTCCTAGCTCCTGCAGTTTTTGTTCTGCTGACAGCGGCTGCAACCTTAGCAGAGAAGCCCACAAACAAGGCACAGTACAGCCAATGGCTAAAGTGAGTCAGGCTGAATTTAATGTAAGTGCCTCTGAGGCTCACCATGCATCAGTTGCTTTGAAACCTAGATCTTCTCTGGGGTTTGGGTTGGGTCTCTTTTAGGAAAGAAAGAAGTTCTCTGAGTTGAAATGAAAACATGTTTTTCAAAAGAAAGCAAGAGATGACTTAGAAGCAGAGAGTTGAATGCTAACAAGTGACCGTGTTGTTGCTGTTCAAAACACATCATGCTGTTGTTCTCCATACTGGTTTATCCAGTCTGAGGTTTCATGGCTTTCTGCACCTTAGGCCACATATCTGCTGCAGTTCTTTGAATCTGTAATTATTTTGCCTTGTGCCTGCAGGGCACAACTGAGTACGAAAGGGCCAGGCCTGAAAGCAAAGGAAGAAGCAAATCTCGGGTTTTAACAAATACAAGCAATTCTTCTTTTTCTTTTTTTTTTTTTATATAGACCTGTGAATGTTTTGTAGGTGTAAAAACAGTGAAAACTTAGGCAACGTCTTCATCTGGTCTCCTGTGGCACAGAGTTTTAACTGACAGCAAAACAAAAAAGGCTCATGTGGGACACAAATGGTATTTTGTAAGAGAAAAACATCCTGGAAGTGAGTGAGGAAGCAATGTCAGAGACTAAAATTACCATCTATTAGGCATTTGATATAGATGTGCTGGAGGCAGGCAGATAGTGGGTGCCTTCCTGTATTTCCATTTCATTCAACATACATTTCCTTGGGAGTATTTTTTTAATTTTGAACTGATGCTATATTCTACTGCCAAGTTGGTTTTCTTTTGAAGACAGATAGGTTACACAATCTGGTGCCAAGAATCTGTCAAGCCAGCCTGCAGCATACCATTTTATAGATAAAACAAAGGAAAAAAAAAAAATCGGGTCATTCTGTTTAATTTTTTGAGCAGTCTGGTTTTGGTGGTTGTAGCTCATAGGAAACCCAGTAAAAATACACTCCTGAGAGCTTTGAAACGTAGTGTCTCCAGCAATACATCCTCTTGGCAAGAAGACCTTAATGTTTTTCACATTTGGGATTTGATGCACACTGAAAAGCCAGGGTGTTAACTGAAACAAGTATATCAGAGTTCTAGGGCACTGAGGCAAGCAGAAGGTGGCTGTGATGTTTAGGTAGGGGCACAGAGAAGAAGGAGCCTGAATTAAGGCATTTGCTTTTCTCTCTGTACCATGGAAGGTGTGGAAGAGTACACTGTGTACTAATGCCTTGGCTCTTGGTGAACCCTGACTAAATAACTATAAGAAACCCTCTGTGAGCATGTGCTTGTGAAACACAAGGATTTCTCTGTGTGTGTATGCATGCACACACTTCATCACAGATAAAGTCATTTGTCAGGTTGGTGGCCAAATTAAAGCAATATTTTTTAAAACTAAATAAATAGAACTGAAAGATATTCATTGTAATGTCGGCCTAAAGCTAAAGTCTTTCTAACAACTAATAACAGTCTAACAGCTCTTCTCTGCCAAGGGACAGTAGGAAATACTTGGGAGAGTGTATAAAGGAAAAGTATAAAGGGTGTGTATAAAGTACTACTTCTCCCAGTGGACATTCCCAATTTAGCAGTCTGTTGTTCAGGGACTTCCTAAGCCAGATATGACATCTGTGTAATAGCTCTTCCTGGACCTATCTGCTGTGAATCTGATTAGGTTCTCTTTGAACCTATTTTTATTTTTGTTTTTCCCAAGATCCTGTGGCAATTTAATTACACATTGTGTGAAGAAATGCTTCCTTTTGATAGATGTAAATCTTCAGACTTCTAAGCCATGCAACTGGCTGCCTTCCTCCTCACAGTTCTTGCACTCTCAGAAATGTTGAAACATCACCTAGTCAAGATTTCATAGGTCTCTCATATCTCTCCTCAGCTACCTGTTTTCTCAACGAAGAAATGTCTTTTGTCCTGTGGAAGCCGTACCATATCTCCAATGATCCTTGTCCTCCCTTTTGAACTTTTCTGGCTGTATCAATGCGTAGCAAAATGCTTTGCTCTGCTTGTCAAAGAATAAATACTGCCAAGCTGAAGAGTTCTCGCTCATTTTTTTCGGTTTGCTGGTGCTTATCATGCAAAATTCAGGTGGATTTTCCATTCTTTAACAACACCTGTTTCGAAAGAATTGCAAGCATCAGACGCTACTGAAAATGTTTGCATTCTAGGCCATTATAAAAAAATATGCATACAGTCTGTTATTAATGTTTTCTAGGGGTTGATGTGACTGAAAAGTTAATTTAAGCTTTCTTCTGTGGAGGAATTGCCCATTTCTTTTTTAATTGGATAACCCTTCTTAACTCCTGGTTTGCTTTGCTCTACTCCTTTCAAAGACCCAGATCAACAGCCATTAATTTCCTCTATCAGTATGACCTAGTACAGTCCTTCTTGAAGTCAGTGGCACTCCTCCTGAGGTATCTGGGTGCATCAAGCATATAGGACATGAAATTCTCCCTCAGCATCCTTCATCTGCTCCCTCCCCAGCTGCAGACTAAATACAGCTGATGAAGTTTTGCTGTTAGTTGCACTTGTCTAATCAGCTATTGCTCTTCAGTGGAAGGTGGAATATAAATG